ATATTTTTTTATTAATGGAAAAGGTCCAGGAAATGGAAGCCGAGTACTATCCTCCGAAAGTAGACGTAATCTTGCAAAACGAGAACCCCACGGATGCATATATATTAGTCTCGGGATCAGTCGTAAGTCAATAAGTATATCTCGATTATCTTACAAACATATAAAATGATCATTTTCGAAAACAGTTTAGCAGTTATAATAACTACAAATAGTATTGAGTTCCAAATTTTTCAATCTTTGGCAGGAATTTATGGCAAAGATCGACGGTCACGATCAAGTCAGACTTTCTGCACTCGCTCACCACCGTTCGAATTCAAACAAATAACTAAACAATTAATCTAATGCCTTTTTTTTTTCTCTATACAGATCATTGGAAAGGCTTCTACAGGGGAAATATTTGGTGAGATTGGAGTTCTTTGCACCAAGACTCAGCCTTTCGGCGTACGAACAATTGAGATTTCTCAAATTTTACGACTAAACAAAACTACATTTCGCAACATTCTCAGTGCAAACCCGGACGATGAACAAATCGTATCGAACAATCTTTTTCAGGTAAAAAAAAAAAATAAATCAACAATCGGCTAATTATTTTATTTTTCGGGATGACAACCCATATTAATTTCTTCGGATTTTTTTTGTCCTTTGTTTTGGCTTTGAAGAAACTGAAAATATGTAGATTATTAGACTTCGAAGATATTTCGAGTCCAAGATTTGTGGAGACGAGCCAAACCGAGCCTGAGACTGATGCTACCCGACAGGGACATCTCGAAATGGTAAAAATTATGCTCGAAAAACGAGCAATGCCCGACAAATCATGTGCTGGTGGCATAAACGGGCTCGTGCTCGACTATAAAAACGGAAACAAATCATCACAAGGACACGATATTTCGACTCCACGCACAAAAAACCGAGCCGCCAGCTCAGCAAAGAGAGTCACCATTCACGCGAAAGAGAAGCTTGCGAAGCTGATAATTTTACCGAACTCAACAGACGAGCTACTCAAAATAGCCGGTACGTGTTGTGTTTTTTAAATGTGTTGAATTAAATATTTAGCCATAAAAAATTCAGTCAAAATCGGGTCAAACTTAAGTTTTTCATAACTGATTTTTCGAAATTCACTACACAATTACTGATTTTTCATAACTGATTTTTTCTCCTTGTTAATTATGCGTCAGGTCGAAAATTCGGGCGGAGTGGTTTTACGAAGGTGTTCGACTCGGATGGCGCGGAAATAGACGACTTAAGTGTAGTACGAGACGGGGATCATTTGTTTCTTTTTTCCGAGTGTTTATGCGAAAGGACAGAGTGTGATTGAATGAAAACTAAGGTCCCATTTGTTCTTACAAATGTGCCTGAAACTCAACTGAAATCGAGTTAGTTAAGGCATGATTGTATATAATTTGTACAGTAAATATCTCATTCAAAATTCAAATTTAACTCAACTTTAATTCAATCCATTATCTCCAATATTATCAATATAATTAAATAATATCAACCAATCATTCTTATACATCACATCAATTTAATTCACTATTCGCCCACTCACATAATTTTAACTAACTATCACTTCCAATCATTTTCTCTTACTTTTACATCAAATCAACTTTAATTATTTTACTTTAAATATTATTTTAATATATCCACTAACAACTAACCATACTACTTTATTTCAAACTTAACTATAGTTAAAAAAAACTAGTTTTTTACTAGTTGAATTCATATCCAATCACTCCCTTAATCGCCTAAAGATGTTGAACAAACTCTGTTACATTGCGGAACGAACTTCGTTTTTCCGGCTGAAATCGACTAAAGATTAACCACATTTGTTAAATTAGCCATACAATAAAAGCTAATTAAAGTTGAACGCTTACACAATTCTTTCTATGTAATATATGAGCTAAAATGTAGTTGATGCTAGAAAAAACATACTATTAAGCACAAGCCCGTAGTTCAATGTAGTTGATGCTAGCATNTGTTTTCATAAATATATTTCGTTTTTTTCCCCATTTGTCTTCTCCATTGTCAAGAATTTCTCAATATTGGGATCATATACTTGGAAGTTAAGTTGATTACGCATTCAATTCCATTTATCGATTTAACCTTACTCTCTTACCCCACTCATGTTTTGCAATACGGTTTTTAAAACCAATCATTAATACATATTTATTATTTTTTATTTTTATACATTTATAATCGCCAATTATTATTTTACTATATACCTATCACGCCCGTCTTCTAGAATAGCAAAATAAATAAAGAAAAATAAATAGAATGAAATGGAATGGATATCCAATTGCATTCAATTAGTATGTTGTGTTCATTATTCTAAACTTGTATATTCCTATTTTTATTAGATTGAAATATCCAATACAATATTGATCTCTAAATAATGAGATGAGATTTTTTGTGGAACACATGAATTGGAACTATCATTTTGGAACCTAAAATTATTGTCCCTAAATAGTATACACACAAGTATTAATTTATAATGTACCATTTCATGTAACAATTAATAGGGAAAAATATTTATTATTACGAAATTGTATTTCTAATTTCTTTTTCATTTTGTTGGATGATTAATACGTATACAATTATGATATCACGTGTCAACCATCTAACAAAATAAAATAAAAATCAAAACGTAATTTTAATTAGAACCCAAGAAAAAGGAAAAAATCTCACTAGGACATGATCAAGCTAGACACTACTATAAATGAAGTCATTGACTTTCGCATATGACGGAGAAAATCACAATATTCCACACAACAATAATATGACAACTAATGTCATCATACAAGGCATTTAATTTAGAAAAATGCTACAAGTATATAATAAATGTACATAAATGTGTACATAACACTCACATGGAGTAGAGTCCATTTATTTTTTTATTTTTAGTAGGATCCACTTATGTGAGTGTTATGTACAACTCTATGTACAGTATTTTGTATTTGTAGCATTTCTCTTAATTTATTCATTTATTCAACTCTTTCACTTACGGCCGGAGCTACCAACATGCAACAACAATGCATGTTAAATCACCAAACAAACAAATCCAACTCCAAATTAATTAACACGTTTTTTTTTTCAATTCTCGGGCTCGAATGCCGATATGGGGTGGGACCGCGAGAGCCCAACGGGTGTAGTGAACTTGATCATGTTGGGCCCGGGTTGGCCCACAAGGATGTCGTTTACCACGACAGGCAATAGTAGCTCCTTGGCCTTGACCCCGTTGACTTTCGACATGTGTCCCTTTTCGAAAAAGGCCGTGATCTCAACACTGTAGATCACGGTTGACCCGATTTTCTTGAACTTCTTTTCGATCTTCTTCTTCAGCCTCAGCCAAACGAAACCTGCGTTTCTATTGATCCCGATTTCTTCTATCTCGTCCAATGGCATAAGTTCCCTAGGCATCATGATCTCGTCTATGAACTCGAGCGTCTTGGCCTTGCACGCGTCTCCTTTGTGGATTTCGGCTCCGTTTTTGTGGGTTTCAATTAGTTTACCACTCGACATTTTTAAAAAAAAAAATTGTGTAGGAATAATGGATGGGTTGTTTGAGGTGTGTGTTGTGTACTTGTGTTGTGTTTGGGGGAGGAAATTAGGGGTTTATATAATGTGGAGATGGCTTGGTTTTCTTTAGTTCATTTGTGAGTATAAGTTGGTTGGTGCATTTATTAGAGTAGGGCTTGAGATATGGGCTTACATTCAGTTATTATTGCTACATGTTATGTTTGGTAAGATTTTGCAATTAATATAGATATTGTACATATTTGGTTCAAAAGAACATATATATTGATTATTTTATTTTCATGATATTGATTATATATATATATGGAGCAAAAGGCTCCAGTTTCGACTCTTATTTTTATTATAATGTTATAAAAATTTTATCGAGCAATCATATGGTTTTCTTATGGAGTCATCCATCACTTAAAATTCTATTGTGCATATTTGGAACAAAAGAATATATATATTGATTATTTTAAAAATAAGAGTCGAAAACTGGAGGCTTTTCAACTTCTTAGCACGTTAATTGTAAAGAATGACATTAATATTTTATGCCTATCAAGGCATACTTTTTTCTTTTTCCCATTTTATACATATTTATATGTTTGCCAAACTCTATAAAATGTGCTTCATGTGGAGTGTCGAGGCTTAAAAAATTATGCTATTATAGGACGGCTTTTATGGCATGATTGGTATGATGAAATGGAATTTCGTAGGAATGAAATGAATTGAAGAATGGAATGATTATGAGAATGGAATGACACATGTTTTGTCATTGATGTGTTTGGTATGCAGAAGGAATATGACTGAAATGGAATGACATTATCATTTTTTATTATAAAAATAAATAAAAGCGTTTTTTTTAAAATTAATATACTTTTAATGAATTATATATAGATGATTTTTTAATAAATAAAAAAATAAAATAATATATTTTTAATATATTTTAAATAATATATAAAAATAGAATAATATATTTTTTAATAATATAAAAAATAATATATTTTTAAAATAAAATAATATATTTTTAAATTATATATAAAAAATAATTTATTCTTAAAAGTAATATTATTTTTAATATACAAAAAATAATATATTTTTAATAATATTTGAAAATAAAAAGTAATATTTTTTTAATAATATATATTTTATTTTTTAATTAAACAGTAAATAAAAATAAGTTTTCAATTTTTTATTTGAATTTTGAAAGAATAATTTTATTTATATATTTTAATCATGATTTATAATATATATTATATATTTATTTTTTATTATTATTTGTTACATTTATTTTTTGAAATATTGATTCCTACACACATGAGAATGAGAAAACCTTCCATTTACTACGGAATGGCTAATCCCATAGAGATGGGTTTTGCCATTCCCATTGGAATGGTCATTCCTTCCCAAAAAATATACCAATCATGGGATATGGAATGAGTAAGGGAATGATCATTCCATTCCCATGTCTGTAGCGCCGCATTTGTTCCGGAATTAATTGGAGATTTTTATTATTATTTTATTTTATTTTATTTCAAAATTATTTATTCGAGCTCGATAATTCTATTTCGATTATGTGCTCATAATTGATAATTGTATTAATTTTAATATCGTGTCGAATAGTATTATTATTTTATTAAACTGCCAGAGAGAAATAATTACTTGATGATGTATTTATTAGCGTGCGCTAATAAATATATATTATGTCGGTTTCGTGAATTTAAAAGATTTACGAGTCGTCATATTTTATTTTTTCGAGCATTATGATTATTCGGAGTTTATGAGATTGAGCTCGATAAATTAATAGTCTAAAACAGCCGATTCGTAAACTGTTGTTTACGAATTAATGGAGATTATTTATTATTATTATTATTATTATCATTGTTATTATTATTGAATGACTAAATATTATTGTTTGCTTAATTGTAATTAATTGCCTAATTGTATATTTTAATTATTTTAAAATAATGTATGTATTAAATAAATATTACCCGGTTGTTATTTTATTTTATCGCGCAATTAAAACCGAACCCGAGAGTTGGATTATTTTTGGCGAAACCAGTATGGATCGGCCCGTGAGCCAAACCCGCACAGCCCACCCAAGACCCAGTTCTCTCTTTTCATGCGTGTGTGTGGTTGTGAAACTTCTTGGAAAATAGAGAAAGTCAAACCAAATGTTATATTATGAATATATAGATACAAACTTTTATATCTACCTCCTCCCTCATTTCATTAGATCGCATCTCGCCAAAATCTGATTTTTTTATTCATATATTTAGTTATATATACATTATGTATCTATTATCTATTTCACGTGAAACATCTCATCTGATCCGAGAATCCCTCCATCAACATGTTCTTCCTCCTTCTTAAATCTAATTTCGATCGCATCACCTTCATATCTCTCTTAAACTCGCCGCTGTCATCTTCCTTCCTCGTCGTCACGACATCATCACATTCCCTTCCGCCTCTGTCCTGTACATGATACGCCTTCATCGTCGCGCTATCATCTCCTTCGCCGGAGAACCATCTCGCCGCCGCGACCCCAGAAGCCCGGCGAGCTGCTCGCGATTCACCACCCCTCTGAGAACGCCGTCGCTGCTCCGCCCCGATCTCCGACGACCTCCTCCCGCGACGCGAACAGAAGTTTCGCCGTGCTGCGAACGCCACCAGCTGCTCCGCCGGCAAATTACTAGATTTATTGTATTACGTAAAATAAGTTAACATGAAGATTAAAATGTGTCACATTGTGATGGGCAGACTTCATGACTTATACACACAGGGCAAAGTTGGATATATACTCAGATCTTTAGGAAAAAATAGAAATACGCTAATAAACAAGCTAAGCAAGCACTTGAAAGTATGGGACAAGAAGGACGGACATAGATATAGATGAATCCTTTACTTATGTTGGACGAGACCATGATGCGAAAGGTAGTTCTAAGAAGTATACACTCAAGACTGAAGAACAACTTCTTAAAGCTTTTTATGAGTTTTAAATCCAAGATGATTGTGATGCCTTCACATTCCCACGTAAATTTCAGGCAGTGGTCGTATTTATTCTAAAAGGTTTTACTTGCAATGGTTAGTGATGGTACATCATGGTACATCATCCACAGATAAATATCATGTTGACCTGCATATATGCTGCTCTTGTAAGACACAGGAGAACCGCATGTCAGCAGACAAGCTCGAGAAAGGGATCAAACAGATCACATGATCCATAATTACGTCAAGTTTTTAGCCCAGGACTTGACCTTATTGTTCACAAACTAGTATCGGGCGCTTGATGGCTTTATTTGTGATATGAAAGAATTCTACGATGAACATGGGGTGCATTCAGATATAAAAAAGTTTGCATGAATCTGCTAAAGCGGAAGTTGACAAAATTATGAGTAGGGACGCTCCCCCTTTATTCCCACCAGGGAAGCTGGCATTGGCAGCTTTACGTAGGTCTTCTGAGTTTATGAAGTGACAAAGGTATTGAATAAGAGCATGCTCTCTCAGCAGCATCCACCTCATAACTATTCAAATCTCACTCTTTCTCTAAATGTCTTTGATATGCTGATAAAAAAACTCAAGACTTATACCTCAAAAAAGGTAAAGCCCATCGATGGGAAATTCAGGACATGTTTGGAGCCAAGCTCTCACAACAAAAGTACGCACAGATCAAATGAGAGTTAATCTGGAATGCAAGGCATGTCATAAGTATCCAGGTTAGAGGCTGAGGAGTAGCATTATAGTTGATGTGACTGAATTTGTGGAAATTCATTACAATGCTGCTACGATAGAAGAAAAATGTTGTCTTACAGTATTCAAAATAATGCTGGATACAGTTCAAGAAAAAAAACAAAAGAATAAGAAAATGTAAAAGAAGCAGAGAACATCTCAGTATTTTTATCTCGTGGAGGAAGTTTTAATTTATTTATAACATTATACTTTTAACACATATAAGTTGGAAATTTTCCATTCAGATGGATGTTTGTCTTTTAGGTGAAGTTCATTAAAGAAAAATAGCAGTTAATTTGATAGCAAGGGGATGTGTTTGAGAAAATGTTTCAGCAGGTAATTTTTCCTTCAGATGGATGCATTTGTTTGTATAAATAAATATAAAGTCACATTGCCATAAGCATGCATCCTCACCAACACCATCTTCAGATGGCACCTCAGCAGCATTGAGTGTTGATACAATCTTCTTTATCTCTTCTGAGGTTCCATTCTACAAAACCATTGCAATCTTTTACAAGACAATATACAAACAGTAGAAAGATAATAAAACTGAAAGTTAACCAAGGTGTCTACAAGCAAATCATACAGCAAAGAACAATTCTACCCTGCTGGAAAAATGCAAACTTGAATGAAAACATAGAAGGCATGGCATACAGTGTCATACAGTTTTGAGGCGTTTTAGTTATAGTTGCAAACTGCTCTTCGTATGATTTAAAAACATTGTTCCTAAATCAGAAGCCCACTACCAACTGATCAAGTTCTTCAATAGGGTAAAAGTAGTGTTTTCATATAAACAGAAGCAAGGTAATAAATCGAAAATCTCCTTCAGATCTGACCATAAGAGTTGTTAAAATTCAGTTTAGGGGATCCAAAAACAGAAACCAATTTCACATCAGAAACCACTTCAAACAAAAACTCGCCACATGAAAAGATTAACCGAGAATCTATAAGCATTGTGATTTCAGCAAAGAACATGTGTAAATTAAGACATTTACAGGATCCCAAAACTGACCCTTGTTGCAATAACAGGTTAGATATAACCAATAAGAGATTAGATACCACTTCAAATATAAAACCATCTCAGAAAAGGATTAGCTGAGAATCTAAAGCATTAGGATCTCAGTTGAGAACATAAGTAAATTAAGATAGTATATGGAGATCAGGATCGGGATCGATTAAGGGAACTCAAATGGCAACCATTCAACGAGGAGGATCGGAAACTCACGCATTTCCAGTTGCCGCCGACGAAGAATTTCCTGGCCATGGCTTCTTCTTTGGGTTGATGGCGATGAATTGCTCGACAAGAAACATGAGTAGGGTTACGTTAATGGCTGGCTGTGAGTGAGTGAGTTTAGGTGATGGCCGTGAAATTTATGTTTGGAGAGGCCCTTCGTTAATTGCGGATCACGAAATGTGCGATTGGTCGATAATGCCCTTGGGCCTCGAGACGGTGAAATAACGGCATCCATCGAGGCGCACATTGCCGGAGTCAACGGCACGAGTGTCGTGGAAATTTGGACAGTACAGCATGTTTGTTTAAGAGTTCTCTGCGGCCGGATTTCCATGTTGCAGCTCAAAATTGTTGGGTTAAGAAAGGGGGTGCTTTCACTGGTGAGATTAGGTAAGGCTTCATACAAAGTCTTCCAGGGTTTTTATTATCTTTGTTGCAAAGTGTTTATCTCGAATCCCCCACCACAAAGCTTCTGGTCTTATTGTTACCTTATTGGTTGAAAAAAAAAATTATTCCTTTGCTACTGCTGAAGAATGGGGAAAATTGATGAACCTTGGTTTCTATTGACTAATTAACATAAACTCCAATTAGCATTCATGATGTCGTCATATTCTAAAGGCAATAAGTTCGTGAATCGGTTAAGTATTTTTGTTTATTACTTTTTAAAGGATATGAGAGTTTTATAAGTTCCATTTCTCTTGTGGTGTAGTGCTGAGATGCTTGTAATCTGGACATACCTTGGGTAATTCTTGGTCACTCTGAACGTAGAGCTTTGTTGGGTGAAACAAGTGAGGTAAGATTCAGTGAGTTTGTTCCTTATATCTGTCCAATTGAATTGCTTTTCGTACATCCTTATTGTTGTCATACTGTCCAACAAATTTCAGTTTGTTGGAGATAAAGTTGCATATGCCCTTGCTCAAGGTCTGAAGGTAATTGCTTGCATTGGCGAGACTCTTGAACAGAAGAAGCAGGATCTACTTTGGATGTTGTTGCTGCACAAACTAAGGCCATAGCAGGTACTGAATGCTAAAATTCTAATGAATCAGGGATTTTAGCTATAATATCATAGCATGCACCATAATATCATTTAATTGAGCTATCAACCAAGCGAGGAATTTATCATTTCATACCTGGCTCGGCTGAAATGTGCTCTCTTAAGATCCATATTCACAAGAAGTATCTTTTTTATGTAACCAAATGACTGAAGATTGGAGTTCTAATATGCGCAAAGCCGCAAACTTTGTAGTATTGTTCTGAATGCATTCCTAGTATTTGTGACTAAACATGTAATGTGTTTTGAAGAATTTCCTAGCATAGTGAAATGTCCATTCTTTTTTTCTCATAATTTATCTGCTGCTATGATTTGATTGTTCTGCGAACAGTCACCTCAACAAAGTGATGATTTTCAAGAGATTGTTATCAAACCATGTGCCGTAGCATAAAACATTTGTGTTTTATGATTTACAGTGTTTATGGTTCCCCGTGGAAACATTATTTATTTCTCATTAACCTTTAAAGTTCTTTCTACCATCATCTGTACGTGGGTTTTCTTAATAACCTTGTTTTCAATTTACCACCAAAATTTTACAAAGATCTTGCATCACAGAAATATGAATGTAGTCATTCACATTCCTCATTCTGTGATGTTAAATGTTCTTTTGCGATGCAGAGCGTATTTCTGATTGGACAAATGTTGTCCTGGCTTACGAGCCTGTTTGGGCTATTGGAACCGGTAAGGTGGCCACTCCTGCACAAGCTCAAGGAGTAAGCCTCTTCATTTTCATAGCCCATCTCTATTTACTTATGTAGCCTCCTGAAGTGCCAGTTTTGCTGTTATGAGTATTTTGGTTGATCAAGTGAAAATATACATCTTTGAATTAATTTGCTTCACGTCCAAATGTCCTGTTTCTGGACTTTATGGCCTAATCCATTGTCAAATGGGCTGAAAACTGATCCAACTATGCTTGTACATAAACAATTTTCTCTTGTCTTTATGGCAAAGCTAAAATAACTGATATATATCCAATATATTTAAATAATAATCATAATAATATTTGTTTATGTTTAAAATATATTAATAATAATATATTTTTCAAATATAAAAGAGACCAGTTCAACCAGTTGTTCTTTATTAACTCTGACCAATTTTCACTTGTTCGATCAGACATCGATTTTTATTTTTTTCGGAAGTTATCAATTATGAGTAGAAATTGACCAATTAGATGTGAACCCTACTCACTTCGGAGATTTTATAAATTGAATAGTACGAATTCAATTTATTNGTATGAATTCATTGTACATATTAAAATGTTTCGATTCATTGAAACTGAAATTTTGTACCCGAAATAGTAAATTGAGTTGATTTTTTACTGTACTAATTGGATCTATTATTTGTCAAGGGGGGTCACATATGTCATTGAACTATGAGATTCACAATCACCTAATGGGGGGCCATGGCCCCCCAAACCTTTGTGTCTAACATTTTCATTTTATTTTTATTTTATTTTAGGGTTTAATTTTGTTTAACGTATGAGAATTGAGAAGCTTGAATTAAATATCATAAATTTGAGATACCAAAAAACACTCAAATTGTAAGAACGTTCAATATATTTGATCAATTATTGACTTAATAAAACAACGTCCATTTATACTTTTGTAATACTAAACCTTTTGTTATAGTGAATTAAAGGTATGATTTTGTTAAAAAAATATGGTGGGTTTCGCAGAGTCTCAATTTTACTTGTCCAGCCAAAACTATTTAACTGAAATTGGAAATAAAACAAAGATTTTTCGCAAAATATAACTATTCGTCTCATATAAGTATTCCCTCTTCAATGCCATTGTCACAATTAAAAAAATAAAAATAATTATTATTATATATCCTTCAAAAAAAAAAATATTATTCATATATCCACTAGTACATCTCTAACTATCAATCTTATCAATCAAAATTTTATTATTTTTTATCACATCAAATTTAATTATTATATTTCTACCTCATATCTATCTACAATCTCAATTATATATTATTTTTTCTAAAATTATTTTTTTCATCTCTTTTTTTTAGACAACACAATTTTATTTTTTTTTCGAAAAGTTTATATCCAGTCACACGAAATCCACTTCCTAATTAAAGTTTTTTTTTTTCTTTTTTAAGGCTTGCCTTGATGATTATTGCTTTACTAACATGCATAGAAAAAATTAAGTATGCATGTCAAATGACATTATTGCAATAGGTATACTATTGCAGGAGCATGCTTGATGTTAATCTTTATGAAAACCAGACCTCAAATCACCCTTTTATATTAAACTTGACCCCTTTTTGAGTTGCAAAATAGAGTATTTAATAAACTAAGGAATAGGAGATTCCTTATAATTTGGCTTTTTGAGTTTTTTAGTTGATGACGTACAAGTGAGTGATGTTAATTTACAATGAAAAAATTAACCACCTTTTTTTTTAAAAAAAAAAAGTTGAATTAAAATAAATGTAAAAAGGCCTTGTATAAAACATGCATCATTATTCATGTAGAGTACATTTTAATTGATTGAGAGATGTAATAATGTAAGACAGTTTTCATGAGGTTTTTTTAGCTAACGACGTATGCAAAAGAGTGACGCGAAAATTATATTACTATAAAAAAATTACATCGTATATATATGTCAAAAAAGGATACTTAAAGAGATGTGCCATGTGTAACTAAAGGTGTAAACGAACCGAAACCGAGTTGGAACTTCTGATATTCGAATCTTCTCAACTCAACTCGTTAAGATTTTTATTTGTTAGTCTGAACGAGCCGACTCGTTAATTAGATAATTTTGAGATTGAAATATTTATAAAATCACCGAACTTACGCGAACTCACGAGCTACTTGTTTCTTTTTACAGCTTTGATCTATATTCTTCATAAAAAACAAAAAATAACTTGTTTCATAAAATAGATATAAATATGGATTTATTTCAAGGTCAAGATCCACTTTGATGGCTCAAATTGCAATATGCACCATTCAAGATTGAGATACTTATATTGGATAAATTTGGATTTATCGGCGCTAGCGCTGATAATTATAGCCATAAATGTTATTAGATTTATATTGATGCTCAAGATTTTAGATACTATTTTATTTTCTTATTTCATCTTCATAACTAGTATTAATTAATCATAATAACATAAATATTCTTAATCACAAATTCCAAATAATATGTGCAATTTAAACCAACATTTTCAAAGCAAATTTGCAAACACAACCCTTTTTATATAACTTTTTCTAAAAAAAAAAATTCTATTTTTTGAATACGGTATGGCTCCTATTATTCACGACTAGCTAAATGTTAGACGATTATATTCATATTAATAAATCTNTAATTTTATATTTTTATTAAAAGTATGACTGAGTCAACTTAACTAACCACACTACCTTCAAAACAAAAAATTAAGGAGTAGATTGGAAAAATTCTATACTTTCAATCATTTCTTAATAATCACCCCCATAAGATATTTTCTCCCAATCAAACATATGCATTCATAATAACTCAACAACAAATATAAAAATAAAAAATAAAAATAAAATAGAACGAAATACCAATCAGGTCCCCACATTATCCCCCATTTACTTTTTCAGACACCGACGCCAACGTCTTGCGGCCCAGACATTATAAATACACAGGCGTACTCACAAACTCTTCCATGCACTCTGCAAAACACCACCTCAACTTTGCCTAATTTAATCTACACACCCCCAATTTTCTACCCTTCTCACTTTTCTACCCCGCAGGCTCCTTCTTATCGCCAGAATATGGTGGTCTTATCCCAGCCCGTACCCGAAAACTTGGCCCAGTTCGAGACATGCAAGCCCGACCCACACATTTTAACCGACCTCCCAATTGTAGACCTTTCAGACAAAAACAGCCAGAAGCCCATAATGGAAGCCTGCAAGGGTTTAGGGTTCTTCAAGGTGGTCAACCATGGCGTCTCACTGGAGTTTCTGAACAGATTTGAAGCCGAGGCCTTGGGCTTTTTCAATCTGCCCCAAGAGGCTAAGGAGAATTTGGGCCTGCGCAAACCTCTTGGGTACGGTAACAAGAGAATTGGGCCCAACGGCGATGTGGGCTGGGTCGAGTACCTTCTCCTACAAAATTCCGCAAATGCCCCTACTCCAGGAATTCCAGAAACTTTGCGGTAAAACTTAATTAAAACTTAAAAGTAGTGTTTCTAATATTTACCCATAGATCATGAGTATCTAACAAAGCCACCAAATATTTTACCTCTTTAAATAAATATTAATTAAATTCATTATTATAATATAATGTATAAATCAATTTTAATTACATTAAAATTCGTTATAACTTATAACCGAACTCAATTTATTAAAAAAACTAAATATATAAAAAAAAAATCGGTAAATTCTATATTTTAGCTGGCATTTTGGTTAGTGTTTTTCTCTATGAAAAATAATTTAATCAACTTCAAAGTACCTTTTTACCCTTGGCAGGGGATTTATCAACGAGTACGTAGAGGAGGTGAAGCGCATGACGTGTTGGGTGCTGGACCTGATAGCCGATGGGCTTCAGACTGGGCCCAACAGGGACGCTCTGAGTCGACTCGTCCGAGACGAGCGGAGCGACTCGCTGCTGAGGCTGAACTACTACCCGCCCTGCCCGGACCTCCACGCGCTGACCGGCCGGGACTTGATCGGGTTCGGGGCCCACACCGACCCGCAAATAATGTCCGTATTAAGGTCCACCAACACTTCGGGCCTGCAGATCTGCCTCAGGGACGGCTCGTGGGCCGCCGTCCCACCCGATCACACCTCCTTCTACTTCATCGTAGGGGATTCTCTGCAGGTAATTAATTAATTAAGAATCAGGTGATTATTTCATAATTAATTATTTTTAACTCCAAAAATAATTTAAAATCTGTTAATGGCAGGTTATGACTAATGGGAGGTTTAGGAGCGTGAGGCACAGAGTGTTGGCCAATAGCCTGAAGCCGAGGCTGTCAATGATATACTTTGGGGGCCCACCGGCGAGTGAGAAAATTACGCCTTTGCCCTCGGTAATGGAAGAAGGCGAAGAGAGCTTGTACGAGGAATTCACTTGGTCCGAGTACAAGGAATCGGTATACAAGACTCGGTTGGCTGACGATAGGCTCGGGTTTTTTCAAAAAACTAAACCGATTATATGATCGATATTCTCGAAATATATATATATATATTAACAAAAAAAGTGAGTTCATTCCAAATAGGTTGTGACTTGGCTTTTTATTTTATTTTTTATTTTTTTTCNAGTTTTGTGTAATATAATTATATAAATGTAATAACTTGGCTTATATGGCATGAATAATATGTTATGTGTGCATGTTGTGGTTCATCGTTACATTCATTAATGGCCAACTTTAAGTAATACATGACAAACTTTAATCATCATAAACCAGTGTTATGTGTGTATGTTGGAGCATTGTGAAATGGCTATTTTGAATTTAAACACTTGATCAGTAGAAAACATGGATTTGGACTAATCGTGAGAGTCAATGTCAAGTTCAACCAAAGCCTTTTGGTGTCATATTCTTAGTTTTCTTTTTGTCCTTCCATTTCGTTTTTCTTGTCCAAGAAAAAGGAGTCCCATCACCGCGGAACTCAACACAGCCTCTCTCGTGAAACATAATATATATGCTATTATTGAATAAAGTTTCAACAGATATTTGAGTTTGATGGATATAATTTAGATTTTTAATTTTATCTAAATATATAATAAGTAGGGTGTGTAAAATGGAATTATAAGGTGAAATGNCTTGTATTGTATTTACCTTCACCTAGCAATTCTTTTTCCAGGCTGTGTTGACGTAACGGGTGTTTTGTTCGTTTTATATAATAATTAACAACAAATCTTTTGTTAAAGTGACTTGGCGAGGATGAATGTCGCACTCTGAATGAATGAATAATATTCAAAGAGTAGGTATTGAAGACATGGTTTGCATAATTATAATAAAAAAAATAAAATGGAACCAATGTATTGTGTCTAATTTTATATAAATTACTATTGTGCTATATGTACACTACTACACTAGTATTATGTATCCTTTGAAATTTGATTCCAACTTACTATTTGTGTGTTGTTCTCCTTTGAAATAATCCTACATTATAAGTAATAAAAGTAGAATATTTGTTGTAATATTTTACTACTTGAATTTTTTGTTGGAATGTAATAATTTTTTGTTGTGGCTCCAAATTGGACGATGGGTAAGAAAATACAGTTTTTGATCTTTTGAAACGCCATATAAAAAATTTCATCAATTCACACCGGCTATTAATCAATTTAACAAGTCGGAAGTGTAAATCGTAAAATGATGAAATATAGAATAACATAACTGGTAATACCAGTAAATAGTCTTATCATTTAATTTTTTGTAAAAGAAGAAATATAATTATTTTTTATGAAAGTATGAAATAATAATCATTTTGAGCATTCATAGTAACGTTTATGCATTCGGACATAGCAAATTATGTATAATTTGGGACATAGCAATATCATACTCGCAGGTTGTGGAAAAATAAAGAATTAAAGAAATAAAGAATCAATTTTGAGAAATGAACCTACTTTATGTACATTCCAACAGAATATGACAAGTTCATAAACTGATGTATAGTTCATGGACAGATGTGTTTTTCAGCCGTCTGTTATTACAATATTGTTACTTTTCTACTCTTTCTGTAGCACTTTAGTACCGATAATTAAAACATTTTCTTTTATGAAATTGACTATGTTGATAATAAATACCTAACATTAATTCTGCAGAAAAAATAAAAAATAAAAATTTACTGAATCTATAATGCTGAGAACTGTTTGAAGGTGTTTGTCCATAGAAATTAAAATTAGTATTGGGGCTCGAAATCTCTATTATTATAAGTTTTCGGAAGCGAAAATGATGATTGATTGAACTAGTGCATGGTTTTGCAAAAATTTTATGGAGCCATCGGATGGTTTTCTTATGGAGCCATCCACTACTTATTATATATTTTGGAATGACACTTGTTACTCGTGCGACTTACATGTGTTATATTATAATAATTTTTATAACTTATATCATATAACTACTTCAAATATAAATATATTAATTGATAAAAATAATTTTATTTTTTAATTAATATTAAAAAGTAATTTTATTATTGTTATAAAATAAATATAATTTTTTTTATACATATAATACGGATGGTAAATCGAAGCTCATCAAGAGATGGATAATTTGATATATTATATATGTAAAACTGATAAAAGATACAAAATTTATGACCTTTTAAAATACAGTTACAATTCAGTGGTTATAATAAGAAATGGTATTAAAATGCAATTAATACATGACCATAAATAATCAACATATTTATGGATAATCCGGACTTAATTAGTTTTGAATTTAAAATAAATTAAAATCTACCAAATCCTCAAATTTTGTCACATAGAATCCTAAAACATGTGAGCCTACTATTTAAGCTCAGCACGTTCTGAATTAATACAGAGGAGGTAATGGGAGATTTACATATAAAGCCACTTTTGGGTATGCTTTTGTCCTAATTGTGTGAGGAATATTTGACAGATTATGAGACTACAACAACTAGGCGTAGGTACACTAACAATTTTTAGACAAGATCTTGTCAATCTTGGACTGATTAAACTTTAGATTTGACTCCTCGTTAATCAATTTCTCTAATTTATCCATATATATATTTTTTTTAATATTAGTATTAGTCTATTAGGTTTGATAAGATTCTTTCCAAATTAACTCTACTTGGCTATTCTGATAGCGTACCGAATAACTTAATTGTATTAAAAAATGTGAAAATAGTTATTTTCACCCTATTTTGAAGTCCTGCTAAGTTTTTCACACCGTCCAATAAAAAGTTAAGTTTTTCATCCCAGAAAGTGCGAAAGACATTGTGCGATGAATATGCGATAGTTGCGAAATGACATTGTGCGAAAGTTAGAAGTGCGAAGGCATTCGCATATTCATTCGCACTTTATGGGGTGAAAAAAGTTAAAGTCCAAAGACATTGTGCGATGAATATGCGATAGTTGCGCGATGACATTGTGCGAAAGTTAGCAGTGCGAAGGCATTCGCATATCACTTCGCACTTTCTGGGGTGGAAAAAGTTAAAGTACGAAGTCATTGCGCGATGAATATGCGACAGTTATGCAATTGATATGTGATAGTTATGCAGTCCATTCGCATAACCTTTGCACTTTCCGAGGTGAAAAAGTTAGATTGTTAGTGGACGGTGTGAAAAACTTAATATATCTTTGTATTGGGTGAAAAAGATTTTTTCCCTTAAAAAATATTCTATAGTCGATTGTAATAGTTATTTTGACTAGTGAATTATATTAGTAGTTTATAAATAAGTGTCCCGTAAATAGCAGCTTGTATAATTATTTTGAAAATTGTATGTCACTTATTATCTCGACGTTGCTCATCATTTGTTTTATCAGAAAACGTCAAATATTATGAAAAAGAACTCGATTAAGTACAAAGTTCGCTCCTTCCAGGTACAAATTTTTGTTTTTTTCTCATTAACATCAAATATTATAAAAGAGAACTCGAATAAGTACAAAGTTCGCTCTTGCCATGTACAAATCCTCTGCCCACAGTCAAAGTAGATAAGTATAATGCCCCGATATGGATGCTATAATGCCCGGATGTGGATGCTCTTAGAGGCCATTATTTTCTCCACATTTTTGCTACTTGAGTTGATGGGGGTACTGTTCCAAAGTGTTTTTTTAGTATTTGATTTTACACTTATACTCACCGAGTGTAGGTGTGAAACCAAAAGCTAAAAATTCTATAGGGTAGTGTCCATAGGGACAAGTAATAATTTACTCTATGAATTGGAATGTCCCAATTGTGCATGTGATCAATAAAATTATTAGAATTTCTAAAAGCACATTAATAAAACCAATCACAAAGCCTGGTCTCTAGCAATTTCCAAATCTTTTTTGAGCCTTAATAGGCTTTTAGAAAAGTTGGAAACAAAAAGGAATATAACAATTGTGATCATCATAGCCGCTAAGTCTTATTCAATGCTAATTTAATGAATCTCAATGTCTCAACCACTACAGAATTTGGGCATTATCTTATGTATTTTCGACTCTTGAACCTGATTCGAGTAGATGCACTGAATTTGCCCCCAGAAAATGATATTTGCATAATGTTGAAAGTAAAAACATTAATTACATAAAGATGGCAATGAATTATCCACATGACCTTTCAAATGTAGGCCACAATAGGTAATATACCTAGAGTAAAGTCTTAAAGTGCAATAAAATGGGATATGCACCCTGCTTTATTTTTTTTATTAGAATTTTATGGTCAGGACTTAGTGAGGTGCGAGATTATTCTTAGATATGTGTCTGTTTCCCCTATTTCTAGAAGCAGGAGAAACTTGGGGAGGAATTGGTTAGAGGGCTAAACAAGTCGAGTCAGAATTCAAACTCTTGATACTCGAGCTTTCTTCCAAATCTTTATAAGTAATAGAATCGGTAAACGAGCTCGAACTCGACTCATTCATTAGAATTAACGAGGCAAACTCGGACTTTAACGATCCGAGTTAAGGTAATAGTTTATAAAATGACGTAAAAACTTCAATCTCTCGAGCCAAGCGGGCCCTCAATAGTTAATAAAATTATATAAAAATTCGTATTTCTCGAGACAAGCAAGCCCTCACTAGTCGAACTGTGCTCCACTCGTTAACTTAAAGAGCATGAGTTCGGCTCGTTTATCAACCAGATTTTATGTATTTTCCCATAAAAATTTTAACTCTATATTAGTGTAGAAAATTTTATTTACAAATTAAGAAAAATTCAACACATTGCACTTCAGGTTCTAGCACTATGAGTATGTTTGTTAGATTCAGTTAAAAACTAGTTAGTAGTTGATAAATTGATTTCTGAAACGTAGGTGAGGAAGAATAGCATACACAAAGTATGTGTTCGAACACTGAAATTAAAAATGAAAGCAAATAAACTTAAAAACCTCTTCGGGGAGCGTCCTACTACCCTCTCAGAGATCTTCCATTAATAAATTGGTTTGCGCGCACAAAGTACAACTTGGACTTACACAACTTAAACTTCCTCCTAGTCTAGCCAACACTATACCCGACTCTATCAGTTACTTCTCCAGCCACAACACGTTCACATCAAAAATAGCTATGGATCCCTCCTAGCTATACAAGTACTTGATCCCTAAGCACTCAAAGTGCTTGTAAAATAAATAACAAACGCAATTTTTCAATGGTGGTATAAGAACACTGAATCACTGAACCGAATAAAAAACAAAAACAAACGTTCACAAACACTCAATGAAGTCTGAGAATATGATGAACTTGATAATCGTGCCAACCTTCAATTAAGTTTTCATGTAGACTTATATACAACCTCATCAATGTAATAAGTCTTCCCAAGTTTCTCTTTTCCTTCTGAAGCCGATTTCCTTCCCTGCATAGTGCCACACGACTTGGACATAATCTTCAATATGGAAAAGCGAAATCCATTGATCATGATCATCTTCTTGTTTCCAAATGATGCACGATCCTTTCTACAAAAATAAACATATATTATAGAAAGCGATAAATCTATATATATATATATATATATATGGCGGATCAAATGCACCCAACTCTTAAAATGCACCCAGCTCTTAAAATGCGGACAACTCATAGCAAGTACAGACAACTAACCTAGCAACTACAGAGAACTAACCTAACTACGACTAACCTAACAACTACAGAGAACTAACCTAGCAATTACTAACTTAGCAACTACAGAGAACTAACTTAGCAACTACAGAGAACTAACCTAGCAACTACAGAGAACTAACCTAGCAACTACAAAGAACTAACTTAGCAATTACAGAGAACTAACTTAGCAACTACAGAGAACTAACCTAGCAAACTACAGACAACTAACCTAGCAACTACAGAGAACTAACCTAGCAACTACAGAGAACTAACCTAGTGCGGGTTTTAGCGAGCATTTATTAGATGAGATCCAGCAGATCCCCATCTTGGGGGACGGTTCGGATGGCATGAGGTGGAGTCTTACATCATCGGGTGTGTTTTCTACTACCTCGGCTTGGGAGCAGATCAGGCTGAGTGATCGGCCTAATCTTCTCTTCAGAGCCATCTGGAGCGACCTTTTCACCCCTACCATTTCGGTGTTCCTTTGGCGCCTCCTCTTGCGCCGGATACCCATGGATACTGTGTTACACGCGAGGGGGATCTTCTTCCCCTCTTGGTGTGTGTGTTGTTCTGAGACTGGACGCCATGAGACTGAGACCTTTACCCACCTTTTTCTAGAGAGTGAGATTGTGAGGAGAGTGTGGGAGCACTTTGCCACTTGGACCCATATATCCCTACCCACCACATACAGTTTCTTTGAGCTCCTGAGTTTTTTCTCACAGAGCACACACCTTAGACACGTGGGCTTCCTCATTCCTTGTCTAATCCTTTGGTTCACCTGGACGGAGAGGAATAGTGCGAAGCATAGGGATATTACTTTTTTGTTTTCTCACATTGTTTTGCAGGTAGAGAGACATCTTTCACTCCTCATAGCATTAGGCAGGCTCATGGCCCGAGATTGGACAGGCTGCACGCCACCACACCGCTACATGGTGGCTTCCCCACCGCCTGTTTGGCCCTCTCAGCCCAGAGTTGTTGTTTGTCTTCGACCCGACTCTCCTTGGGTCAAGCTGAACACTGATGGCTCTTTTGATCGCCATACCGGAGTTGCCGGAGGAGGAGGCTTGATCCGGGACCACAGCGGCGCCCTCATCACCGCCTTCCACGTGCCCCTTCAGGCCTCCTCGAGCTACGACACAGAGATTCAGGCATTACAGATTGGCCTTCAGATTGGCTTCCACCTCGCTAGTCATATTTGGATCGAGCTGGACGCTACGGCTGTCGCCACCCTCTTGACTTCGGGCCACCAGGGCTCGTGGCAGATTCAGCACCCACTTATGCGCATTAGAGCTCTACTTCGGTCTGTCCATCACAGGATCACGCACATTTCCCGTGAGGGGAACAGACCTGCTGACTACCTTGCCAGCCTTAGCGCCACCATACCAGACCCACATACGTTTCAGACCGACACTGCTCCACTCCGCCTTCGCACGCTTGTACGGATGGACCAGCTTGGATATCCATCGTTTTGCTTTCAGTAGATTAGGTTTGTTGCTTTCATTAGATTAGACTTTTATTCCGGGCACCTGTTAGCCCGAAGACAGACTTTGTATTATTATTTCTTTTTTGTTTTGCTTGTGAGACTCTGTAGACTGTAGACTGTTGATCGCCGGAAGTCAATGGATCTCGCCGGAAGTCAACAATCAACGCCGGAAGTCAACGGTCAATGCCGGAGTCAACGGGTCAAAAATAATATTTAAATAATTAAAATAATAAAAAGAAAAGAGTAAATCTTTGCCACACATGATGTACCAAATCTTGTGCTTAAAAATGAGCCTCACGTCACTTTAAATAAGTGGATGCATTGGAACCAATCTCTCTCTCTCTCTCTCTCTCTGTATATATATATATATATATATATATATGAAATCTAATAGATACTAATAGATGTATATATAGAGTTATGAAATAATATAGTATATTTACATAAATAAATAGAATAGAGAGAATGTATCTTCCCTTATAATTTCTTTGCTTTCAAGAAAATCATCAAGATATTATTTTAAAACTCTTGCCAAAAATAAATCTTACAATGTACCCCTTTTTGGTATTCATTTCGAAAATCATATCTTAAAGATGACCTACAACACATGCTTAAGAAAAACATCAAGCAAAGATATATCCAAGTTCAAACACAAAGGTTAGACCTCATCTCATCTTGCAGAGTAAGAACACCATCAAAGACCACAAAATAATCTAACATAAAATAAATTGTGTAATAGCATATGTATAAAAACAATCATACATATACAACACCATCAAAGACCACAAAATAATCTAACATAAAATAAATTTTGTAAGAACATAGTGTATAAAAACAATCATACATACACATCGCATGTGCACTTTACTAGTCACTTAAAACATGCTTCAATTCCGAATTATGTACATCTAAATTCGACAAAATGTGAATTGGTTACACCAATAGAGAATTCTCTAATGGGGCGTAGAAATTCATGGACCGCGCCCCAGCGCCCGCTGCAGAGCCCTCTTAATTCCATCTTGATCAAGTGAAGTCGACAGTTGTATTTCTTGCACCTGAACATCAAATTTATATTCAGAATGAGATAGAGACATAGAAAAGGAAAATAAAGTAGCATTGATGGTTAAAAGTTGCCTGTCTTCCCGCTCGAGCAAGAATGGTGTACCGATCTCCTCTAGTTGCTGCCTGTATAGTATACAAGAAAGATTTGAGATTTAGTGCATAATGATTTTCTCCTTGTCTATTATAAACTAGGAGATGATGTATTAGTTATATTACATTTGAAAGCCAAAGCTGCAAATCCTGGGAAAATACCCTTTTCTCATATCCTTGTCCAGTGATCTTCACACCATCTATGCTGGAATGCAGAAACACAAACAAAGCTCAAAAGGTAAAAAAAAAAAACAGTACCAACTATGTATGGTCAGGCTTTTGGTAAAACTTTCCAACTATATGGAGCCAAAATATGTGTACCGAAAGGACTAATAGATATCTCAAGGGCATCAAACGTATAAACAGGCACTTTAGAACGGAATGCAATTAGAAAACCTCATGAGCCAGAAAAATTGACCCTTTTAAAAACACGAAAGAGCATATAAGAATAAGAATGCGGAAGCATTCAAGTGAGAAAATGTGAAGTTTTCTTGATCCCATTACTCAACCAAAGTATGGGCTGCAAAACCAAGCAAAGTCCAAGTAACTTAGGCTTTGTTTGTTTACAAAATAACCCAAAAAAAATAAATAAAATAAATCCAATCTCTACTCAAAATCTAACTCAATTTTAATTCAACCTCACTATCTTCATATTATCAATACAACAACAACAACATACCCAGTATATTCCCAACAGGTTGGGGTCTGGGGGGTCGGTTGTACGCAGACCTTACCCTTGTAATTATACAAGGAGGCTGTTTCCGTAGCGACCCAAGGTGCATTGTGCCGTTTGATATTTTTTTTTTTCTAGAAACTTCACTAATAGAAGAAGCACTAGAATTTAATCGAGTCATTTTGATCTAGTCCATTATTAGCACTATGCCAGGAGAATTGTCAACAATGACTCTTCCAGCTTCATATTATCAATATAACTAAATAATATCAATCAATCATTCTTACACATTATATCAACTTTAATTCACTATTCATCCACTTACATAATTTTAACTACCTAACACTTCCAATCATCTATCTCCTACTTTACATCAAATCAATTTTAATCATTTTATTTTAAGTATTATTTTAATACAAACTTAAAATCCCACCAAATACTAACCATACTAACTTTTTTAAATTTAATCCTAGTTAACAAAAAACCAATCAAATACCAATATACTTATAAACAATCACACCCTTAGCTATCCCATATAAGGAAAAACGAGAACACTGGAATCCGGATATGTGATACAACCATACCCATTTTCCTTCAATAGCTCTTCAATTATTGTGTCAAGCCCAGGAAGAGGTTCTATGGTAAAATGATCGCTTTCATCTAATGCATCGGGATCTTCTGCTGAGACATCCTGTAACACTAACACATGCATCATCAGTGTTTCGACTGTACACTGATAGTTAGAAAATTGCTCAAGCATAGAAATTAAATTGCAGGTACCTGAGGAATAACTTTATCAGAAGTTTCTAAAAAAGGATCTTCAGTCAGTTGTTTTATGGACAATTTGATCTTTGACTCTTCCCTGCAAGATAATGGTCAATGTAAACCTTACATACTTGTCTGAATAAGGAAAGAAGCCACATATATGGGCACGGGAATTTATTGGCGTGCATGCAACTCTATAATAGCAATATCAATGAGTAGAAGACTAGAAGGAACATATTTATAGGATTTTTAGAGTAGAATATTGCGGTCACCAATTTATATGCACAATTTTGACTCTCACTTCATCACCCACAGCCAGGACATCTCCCGCGTGGAGGATTAAGTCCCATGACAATTCTGAAACATGCACTATTCCAGTGAGATGATAAAACCCTGCAAAGATTCAGGAGTGAGATTGCAATATCAGATAATTTGCACCAGGGTTGTAATTTCTATCATATACAGCATAACCTCCTTATTCATTGCGCCAGATTTTTCAACTCAGTCTACTAACTTTGCCCATTTAACTGGTCGTGTCAGATTTCCCAACCCTAAACTGACACAGATTATCATTTTTCCAACTCCATTTTAAGAAACCAATACTTCTATAGTTTTTGAATTATACTAGTCATACGCCTTATTTCTCTTTGAAGATTATAATTACTTTAAATTCGATCATTTTACAGTTAAATAATTAGACTAACAACAAAGGCAACAAAAATGGATTTTGCAACTGACTCAATAACATCATGATGTGGTCAAATAAGTCGATTGTATCATTTCAAACTAAATCTTCACCCACCAATCTTAAATTCGTATTATTCGGGTCAGACCTGATTTTGACCTACAGATATGTGTAAGTTCTTTGTCGTGCCAACACTTGCTACACCAAATTTGCACACAAAATTTACTGGAAGTGTTATACAAGTACATATATATACCATCTGGAAAACGGAGATGAACCAGGGCACCAAAATCCTTCACAACTCCTACCCTGCCATAATAAATGTCTCCTAACTCCAGTTGAGGAGAGAACTTTGACCAGCTGAACTTCTTTTCTGAGAATATCAACCTCCTTTGCTCCCCATCTGCTACGACCACCTAAACGAGAATTTAAATGTTATTTTGCTGATTTTTTTTTTTTTTTGGTGGCAACAAGAAGTTCCATTAAAAAATTAGCAACTTAACCTAGCATAATGAAAGGATATAAAGGGTAAAATAAAGGGGGGAGAAAAAGAAAAACACAGTATACATAAGTTATAGAACCCATACCTTCACAGAAAGAACAGAACCCACCAACGATCTTGCAATCTCTTGGATGGTTTTGTGTGGTTCTGCATAGTAATAACTAAAAATTAGAGGCCAGTGTTTATTATTGAATAACATAACCAATGAAGCTGAAGATACAGAAATTTGGCAAAGAACTAAAAGTCCAGCAACAATTAGTCTTAAAAAGAATTGGTAGATGTCAACTGTTTATGCATGTTTGTCAGAGTGATCCATTTATTCTCACTTATTCTTCATCTATCATATCCAATTATTATTTTACTAAAAACACATTACCATCAACTATCATCATTAGATAATCATATCGCAAATATATTATTCAGTTTCTCTAATTCTTCATTCACTCATTATATATATATATATATATTGCTAATTTTCTACAAGAACATCACATTTCCATCCAATGTCAAATACATTTTAGTATCCAGTATCCATTTTCCAAAAAAAATAAAAAATTCAACATTATTATCTACCAAAATACAAAAGAGCATCAGATTATGTCAAGTAAAACATCTTGACATCTTATGGTTCTAACAAGAGCTGCTGGTATTAGAAAGGCAAGGATTAAAATGAGGTCTGAAATGATCATACTAGAATAAGTACAAAACAATTGTCCTGACATCAGGAAAAGTTGTTATCAGGACGTTTAAATTAGATAATAGCTTATTCCTCTATTATGTTGCTAAACTTTTATATCAAAGGTTTAACTTGTAACGTTTTGCATATTTCATCCACACAAAGGAAATTCCATTGGTTTCACGTGTGACCTCATCATAAAATGGAATAAACTGATCATCTTCATTACTATTCAAGAGTACAATATATACGATATATATATACCGTATAAGATAAAACTAAAGAAGGGTGACAAATCAAATAGCCTAATCTACGGGCTTACAATATTATACTAATTGATACTCTGATCTGTAGCAATGTATATATAAATATTAACAAATCTATACAATACATACACTAACACAAAACAAGTACATGAGCCAAACTAGTACCTTTAAGGCATTTATGATAATTTTCATCTGAAAAAAAAACATCTCATTGGCTATGTTCAAATAATTCGGTCATGTCCCCTCCAATTTTCTAGACATCTTTGCACAAAAACCCTGACACTAACAAATCAAGTTTGTTTACTTGAACATGATGAAATCCTTTTCTTTAGGTTCCATGTGCAAGCAGAGTACACGAGTAGACAAGATTAAGAAATCAAAGTAGTTTATGAAGCACAGTTGGCCTCGCTAACTGGTTTCATGTCACAACAGATCCTTCACATATGACAAAAGGGTTATCGCTAAACCGGTTCAGAACTCCTTTTGAACCCATTTAAACATATATCATGGAAAAATAATTACATACTTCGAATATTCTCGGTCTAGTGACAGAATATATCGTGCTTCATATTTGTGCGTCAAAAGGAACTCGCCCTTGAATGTCCAAGTCATGCTGTTTAAGTAAGCTTATCGGAATCAATTGCGCCTTTAATCCTAATATTTTGATACACTCTTCTTTTAAAAAGACTACTTTATTCATGGTTCATAGTTGCAGCAAAGAAAGGTTGGCATGCCAATAGTAATAGAGCATTCATTTAGTCATGGAAGTTGCATAAAAAGAAATAGTCAAACATGCTTATCGAATCTCAAACTTTAACTTTATTTAGCATGCTTATCACATCTCACACTTAAACAAACCTCAACATGAGGACAATGCATTTTCGGATTCGCAAAGCCTAGCATCCCTTAACTGAACTTTACAGAATTCTTCACAAAATATTGAACCATGAGTCTTGTCCCGAAGAAATTTGATGTTTAGAAAACCAAGAGAACAATTTTCCTGGGAGAATCTAGACTTCAACATCAGTGATTAATACCATACCTTTGCATGAATGAGAGGGTGATAACTGCCCAAACGGAATAAAACCAATAAGGGAATAAAATCTTATCCGCAAGCCAGCAGCATTATATCCTTGAACTTTTCCGTGATATACGACTCCCTTTTCCAGGTACGTCCTTGCAGCTTCCCAATCCGCAAGCATCTACTTCTTTGTGTAAACAAAGAGAATAAGTAAAAAGCTCATAGCTGAAATTCATAAAAGAAGTATCGAAATAATCATATGAATAAAATCCTAGATTAGTTTCCAGGAATCAATCCAAACTATCTACTCTTCTTCGAACACATTCCAAACAGGCGATGATTTGAACATTTTCTAAGCAAAAAAAAGAGAAACACACACACCCGGGCACGCCTAGGATCATCAATGTGTGGAGACTGATCGAGCCCATCAACTGTACTCGTGCTGATGCCATTTGAAACGGACACTTTTGAAGCGCTAACCGAAGCTGGCCTCTTGTTTGACGGGAGGCTGCAGGAGAGATTCGACGGGGTTGCTATTAGTGGGTTGTCGGATGCGCTGCCGGAGTTCGAAGATTGGGAGAGAAAGGAAAAGCCTCCGGAAGCGGAAACTGAAGGTGCGGTGAGCAAATACATTTTGGGTGTGAAGGGAAGAACGAAATCAAGTGTGGTTTGTTTTGGGGCAAAAGGATAACGGGACCTTTGATGGATATGAATTCAATTAGTAAAAAATTAATTTTTTTTTTAATTATAGTTAAATTTGAATAAAAGTAGTATGGTTAGTTGTTAATAGATATATTAAAATAATATTTAAATTAAAATAATTAAAGTTGACTTGATGTAAAAGTAGGAGAAAATGATTGAAAGTGATGGTGAGTTAAAATTATGTGAATGAGTGAATAGTGAATTAAAATTGATGTGATGTATAATAATGATTGATTGATATTATTTAATTATATTGATAATATTGGATAGTGGAGTTGAGTTAAATTTGAGTTTTGAGTGAGATATTTACTGTACAAATTATATACAATCACGCCCTTAGTTACTGTGTTTTGAGCATTGATTTTATTGAGGTAAGGTTCAATTTTGTTACTATACACGAGGTTTACTCTTTAAGATTCAACTCGATCTTTAAAAATAAAAATACTCAAGATCGATTCAAATTCATTTGTTCGAATTCGTTTCAGTCCCACTTCAAATTGCCAAAAAGAAAATATTTAAAAATTATTGGATTGAGTCCACATCGAACTTCGGCCCATGTTATTTCAAGTCTTGAGTCGATGCAACAAATACTCAAAATTAAAATTTAAAATTTGAATTTTAAAATTTATTTCAGAAGAACAAAATAAATAAGGTCGACTCAAAATCGATGAGCCTGAATCGAAATTGGGACTGCCGAGATGGTCCGCAGGGATATCATTTTGAGGGTCAGCCAGACAGTTCGCGACTCCTTGGAGTCGTACCGTACGGCGAGCATGAATATTATTATCCTGGCCAGGCAGGCAGTTCGATGCCGCCGGCGGATATGCTTTTCCCAACCATGCAGGGAAGTCGATACCTCGCGCACGCGCACCATTACCTTACGGTCAGCAGGGGTATCCTGATGAGTCGTACGGCGAGAAGGAGTAGGGTTCAGAGGAGTATGACGAGGATGACTCTTCAGATGATCAGGACCACGCACAGCCTGCGGGTCCTAGCCACCTATTCCTCCTGTACAGCATGTTCGTCCGGTACAGCCTGTTCGTCCGGTACAGGCTGTTCGTCCTACACAGCCTGCTCCTCAACGACAGACTGGGGGGCGTTTTGGTAGCACTGCATCCTCATCAGGTAAATAATTGCAATTTACGTATTTATTATTGTTTAACATAAAATATTTTGACTTAATAATAACAAATTATCGGTACTGTTAGAACAGTATTATCGGCCTGCTCCCAACTACGGTGTAATTATTTTGTAATTTAGAGAAATCATACAATTAATTAGTTAGAAAATTATTATAATTATTTTTATTATTGTTATAATCAACTAGTAGTAATGTTATATAATAAATTAATTTAAAATTGTCATTATGTTTTATTAATGTAAAATGTAACGTTTCTACATTAGTTGAAAAAAAAGAGCGGGAAACTTATGAAATATGTTTTATTAAATATATTTTATTTAATGCATCTTCCAGCAAGTCTATATATACAGATATGTTGTATTGTACTGCAGGGAATGGCGTGATGATATGCCTTCTGATGCGAAAGCTCTGATCGAAAACACCGGGCTGTCACATTTGGTGGACTCCATGCACAGCCACTTGGACACTCCACTGCTTTCTGCGTTTGTGGAGCGATGGCAGCCGGATACTAACTTGTTTATCTGCCTTTTGGTGAAATAAGCATCACGTTGCACGACGTCCGGGCCATTTTGGACGTTCTTGTGGAGGGAGCCGTGGTCGCTGAGGACCCGGATTCAGACGTCTGCCTTGGGCTCTACATGACGATACTTTCGGTCACCAAGGCTGAACTCAAGAATTCGTTCTGACAGCGTGGTTCGGTGACCGAAGCCTCAATTGTGGGGGCATTCAGGGGGAAAGACCGACCGGCTAGGGATGAGGCGGGTGCCTGGATGTGGGTGATGTTGGCTACCACCTTGTTCGTCGAGAAGAGTGGTAGTAGAGTTAACCCCAAGGTCCTAAATGAGGTGCTCGACAGCTTGAATACAATTGGGGGTTACTCATGGGGATCGTCTACGCTGGCATACTTGTACAGACAGCTAGGTATTGTCAGCCGAGGGGACTCCAGTGGACTGTTGGGCTGCTTGACTCTTCTGCAATCCTGGATATATAAGTATTTCCCCGATTTTCGACCCCAAGGGCGTCTACCCATCGGTCTTGACTGTGTCGCACAATCTTGCTCGTGGAGCGTAGGGAATGCGCCAAGTTCAGACGATCGGCTCATAGCCATCCGTCGCCGCCTTGACAGACTCACTGCCTCCGATGTACGTTAAGTTATTTTATTTAAATTTAGTTACTCGTTACGTAAAATAATATAATTATTTTTATAAATGCTTTTATGCAATTGTGAACAGGTGTAATGGTTGCCATACGGCAGCTCCAGCCCAGATGCGATAGAGCGGAGGACTCTTTATTGCGGATTGATTCGATACCGCGATATTGTCGAGCCGTACTTGTCTGTGCGGTTTCTGCATCAGTTGGGGTATGTCGAGACTGTCCCTCCCCCTATATACTAGCCAATCACTGCAGTACGTACTTGAGAGTCTAGGAACTACAAGGTTGATCATTCTTAGGCTATTGCAGTAGGTGCCTGGAACCAGTTCTCGTTGTCCCAGACGGTCAACACCAGTATATTGACCCCCACCACACATGATCGCGGGGAGGCGACTGAGGATTACTTGCAGTGGTACGGTCGGGTTTCCCATCCGATGTCATGGGCGAGGAGCTGCCGGACGAGAATGAGGTTCCTATACGTGTCAATACCGCCTATGTAAGTTGTTTACTAAATTTTAATTAATGTTAATTCATTACAACAATTAGAACATGTTTGTTTATAAGATTTTTTCAAAAAATTTCCAACATTTTAACTCAACCATTTTTTTTAATTCAACTTTAACTCAACACCACTATCATCAATATTATCAATATAATTAAATAATATGAAACAATCAATCATACACACCACATCAACCTTAATTTACTATTCATCCACTCACATTATTTTAACTAACTATCACTTCAAATTATCTATTTCATATTTTTACATCAAATCAATTTTAATTATTTTATTTTAAATATAATTTAAATATACCCACTAACATCTAACCATACCATCTTTTTCAAAATTAACCAAACTAAACCAAAAAAATCTAAACAAAACCAAAAATTTTCATAAACAAACATGCTCTTAATGTTGGACCGTCCGGTTTCGGCGGTCGGACGGGCTAAAAACCGTCCGGTTTCGCCGGCCGGACATGAAATTTTTCGTACCTCGGAATTTGAAGACATTTCACCGTACATTTTGCTCTGAGATGTTTGGAAAAAATGAAAAGGGCAAAATCGTTCAAGGAGACGGTGCATAGTAACGCCCTTTTAGAGACGAAGTTGTTCCCTTCAGCCGGATCCGGTTCAAATATATTGGGCTCATAATCGACGGGCCGGGTCATTTGGTCGCATCTAACTTGAGTTTGGCTAGAAATGTCTCGTCAAATATTCAAGTTTAAAACATGTGACTCGACTCGAGTTTAAGTTCTTGTTTTCGGTCAAATTCGATCTGAAGTCGAATTTTGATTCATTTGCAATCAGGATGTGTGAAAAATGAAATGAAAACCGAAAATGTATTTTTTTTTTCTTTCTAAGTTATTAATCTTATTATTTTCGTATTTCAGCTGAAAAGCACTAGAAGGAGCACGTGCTCGATCGCCACCGCATAGATTATGACGACTGACTGAAGATCGCGAAGCTCAGCCATACGTATATACAAACGCACGCATGCGTGCGGGTGTGTGCGCGCCTGAAGAAGCTCCACAGTTGGTAATGGCGGACGAGCCTCTGCCCACCCGTTGGTCCTTTCAGGTTCCGTCCATTTTCCTTCGTATTCCGCTTTGTCCAAATGCTTATCTATATGCTCGACTGATCGATTTTGGTGTTCGATTGCTCGTGGATTGACTAATGTATCTGAAACACTGATTCGCGAATGATTGCGTGTTTGTTTGAGCTTATGGTAGTGCAACTAGGTATTAGCTTTATTTTGCAGCTGAAAATGACTCTAGATCAAGAGTAGTTGACGAATTGCAGATTCGCGAATGATTGAGTGTTTGTTTGAGCTTATGGTAATGCATTTAGTTATTAGCTTTAATTTGCAGCTGAAAATGACTGTAGATAAAGAGTAGTTGACGAATTGCAGATTGATAGCTTCAATAGCTGTACTTGGATATTGATGGGGTCTTGAGTTACTTTACTTGCCTTTTTTTTTTGGGAATATTACTTGATTGTTACTGGGCATAACACAGTGGTTGAATAATCCTTATTAGCTATTTGAGATGCTGGATCTTCTGCTGCATTACATCCCTTTTCTTTTCTTTTCTTCTGTTTTCCATTTTTAGTGGTAGATANGGCTATGTAGGAATTTAAGTTGTTTTATGATTCCAAGTTTGGGAGGAAGAAGGAGGCCCAAGCAGAAGAGTCTTCTGCAAATGGCCAAACATCATATAATGGGGATCATTCGAATGGGATATCAAATGGGAGTCAGCATGTGAAGAATGCATCTGACTTGGCTATCTTTGAACAATTTAGTAACCAGGTGATGAGTAGTTAATTTGAATTGACAAAGACCTTTTTGTTTCGTTCAGTCCTCAAATCATTGTTCTGACACTGTTATGTTATTCAGAATCGAGGGAATTCGATGCAGTCTAATGGAGCTTCGTTGGTGGGTGCAGATGAAAAGCCGTACGTTTTTCTTCTCCCGCATGTTGCTTTTAACATTTTAATGAATGTTGATACCCAGCTTCTCTTGCAGGATGTGTCCTAACTAAATTACTAAATTAACGTGTATGGAAGAGAGAAGTGCAACAAAAAGTAATGATATTTCAATGAAATAAACATATGCAACCATTCTTTATTACTCTTTAGCTTTAAAAGTGGAACCAAAAACTTTTTACAAATTTTGTAAAACTAATCTTTGCGTTCCATAGACTTGCCGAGATGTTAATTAAGGTAAAAAATTCGAGGTGGTAAGTTGATTGAGTTCTTCAAATCATGCGCCTCAGAGAAGATTATTCTGGAATTTTTATGTTACTTGATAAATGTGAATATGTATACTTTTCAACGACTAGAGCATGCAGTTAGCTGATGAACATTTTCCTTTTCAGATTAATTTGATCTGTAGTCTAACCTCATGTGAATATTTCACGGCTATTACAAAACTCAAGTTGGTCCTTTGGAGGCTTGACAACCTCTGGAGAATTCGTAGACTGTTTGTGCATCTCTGACATTTAAGTTTGCTTTCAGGCACAAATCTTTACTTCCACCTTTTGAGTCAGCTGAAGTGCGTGCTTTGGCAGAAAGTTTGTGTAGGTAAGTAATTGCTCTGTTTTCTACATGTACAACCTCTTCCATAACTTTGTCGGGCTTGATCAACTTACATATTTTTGTTTATCTGTGAAATTGTTTCCATCATTTGTAGAGATATCATTCGAGGTAGTCCAGATGTTAAATGGGAAAGCATAAAAGGATTAGATAATGCCAAACGGCTACTCAAAGAGGCTGTTGTCATGCCAATTAAGTACCCAAAGTTAGTCTTTATGCAGAGTTTCTTATTTCCCCAGTTCAAACTCTAAGTTTTTGGATTTGGTTAAATGTTGATGTAACACCTTCTTTTGCAGGTATTTCACTGGTCTTTTAACACCATGGAAAGGCATTCTCCTTTTTGGGCCACCTGGAACTGGAAAGGTTTGTGTTTCCTTTCATCTCTTACATTTTATCTTTNAATGAAGGAAATATGAAATCCAGCACAAGTATTTGCATTCCTCAAAGTAGCCATCTCATCTATGCCCCTGAAGTTTTTTGTTCGAATTTGCACTCTATTGGTTTCACAATTGTATAGAATTTCAACTGAAGATTGGAAAATAAAATCCATTGCAATGACATTTTCAATTTGTGCACTACCCTGATCTTCAACAAGAGGAGCATATTTTTTAGATATCCCCACAATGAGAGCTATTAGCTTAGTGTAGAATTTCAACTAAAGATTGGAAAATAAAATCCATTGCATTGACATTTTCAATTTGTGCAGACCTCAGCTACAATATTGTGGTTAAATATTATTGTCCTTTTACTTTGATTTTGCCTGTTTTCCGTAATTCCATGTTTTTTGTCATTAGTCCTGCCATTGATAATTTTGCTTTATTCAAACACACGACGCATAAGATATAACTTGAGTAGTAACTATATCAACAGTACTTGTTTTGTATCCTCCAAACTTCCAGACTATGCTGGCAAAAGCTGTTGCAACTGAGTGCAAAACCACATTTTTCAACATTTCTGCATCATCAATTGTCAGCAAATGGAGGGGTAAGACACTCAAGAATTTTCAATTCTTCTATGGCCATCCTGTAGTTGATTATTGGCTTCATCTACTTACCGCTACTATCTTATAACGATGTGCGTAGTTGTTTTACTCTTCTATTTCTTGAGCCTTGTTAGTGTTTATACTTTAGCCAGACATTTGGATTTAAGAAAACTATTCAAGTACAGTTCTCCTAATCTGAGGCTTTCATCATCTGTGTAATTCACTATGAATATCAATGATTTGTTTCTTCTTTGCCTTTGTGCAGAGTATATGTCTGCTAGATTCTATCAATTTTCTCACAACTACAAATTGCAGATGTTAAATATTAACGAAAGACGGCAGTGTACAGATACAGCTAGACGAACATTTGTTATTTTCATCTTAAGATACTAAGGATGAATTACATTGCAGGCGATTCTGAAAAATTGGTAAAAGTATTGTTTGAGCTTGCTAGGCATCATGCACCATCAACTATATTTTTGGATGAAATTGATGCCATTATCAGCCAGCGAGGTGAAGGCCGCAGTGAACATGAAGCAAGTAGGCGTTTGAAGACTGAGCTGCTTATACAGGTGATTTGGTTATTGTTCGGTTCTGTTATTGTAAGGTGAATAACAAATTTCAGGCGAAACCACAAGAGTTGACCTGATCTCTCAAAATTTGTACAAACCTCGAGTTATTTAGGGGATGCTTGGATATAAAATATTTTGATTTTGTTTGGATTTTTTTTGTTTGGTATGGTTAATTTTGAAAAGAGTGGTATGGTTAGTTGTTAGTGGAATTTTGTGTTTATATTAAAATAATATTTAAAATAAAATAATTAAAATTGGTTTGATGTAAAAGTAGGAGAGAGATGATATGAAGTGATGGTTCGTTAAAATTATGTGAGTGGATGAAAGTGAATTAAAGTTGACGTGATGTGTAAGAATGATCGATTATTATTATTTAATTATATGAATAATATTGAGTATAATGGAGTTTAGTTAAATTTCAGCTTTGATTGGTTTTTTTGGGTAGAATTTATATTTAGTAATTGTGAAATAACTGGGTGGTATTGAAAACTACAGCTGCTTATTATGAAATTTGATGATGTTGGACCAAACTACAGATGGATGGCTTGACAAAAACAGATGAACTCGTTTTTGTTCTGGCAGCAACCAACCTACCGTGGGAGCTAGATGCAGCCATGCTTAGGCGTCTCGAAAAGCGGGTTTGTCTTCAGATGGCTTTGGTGAATCATTTTCTAGAAGAAAAACCAATGTAACAGAAAATTTAAGAAATAATAAATTTTTTGTCTAAATTTCGGTACGCAGTTATCAGTTCATATTTTCTTTGGCACTTTCCTTTTCTTCTATTTTTCATTTAGTTGGATACATGAGATTTATCTCAATTCTTACCTACTGACCCCACACATTGGATTAATATCTGGTTAGAAATCGTAATGTCGTGAGTAAAAAAGAAAATAAAAAGAAAGAAAAAAAAAAATGCAAAATCAACCGCTTTCTAATTCTTAACTGCATAGGAAAATAGTAGTTTATGTATCGGAAATGAATATACTGTTATTTTTTCTTCTGATGCAGATCCTCGTGCCTCTTCCAGAAGCAGAAGCAAGAAAAGCCATGTTCGAGGAATTGTTGCCGTCAGATTTCGAGGAGGAACTTCCTTATGATTTGATGGTGGAGAAAACGGAAGGCTACTCAGGTTCAGATCTTCGCCTACTATGTAAAGAAGCTGCAATGCAGCCACTGAGACGATTAATGGCGAATCTTGAGGCAAAAAAAGAACTGGTGCCTGAGGATGGTACTTTTTCACCCACTACTAAGAAAATGAAAAATAATTGAAAACTGGTAAAAAAAAAAAAAATGTGAATACAGAGCTTATGTGATTCTGACATATATCCTTCCCACCAAATGGAGGGGTTAGATTTTCTTAAGCTGGACTTGAATGTTAAAACGTGAAAGTTCTTGTGTACTTGAGCATGATGCATTGTAATTTTTTGCGTTAAGTTACAATTTTAGTGCACTAAAAACTAATAATGTGTTGCATGCAGAGTTGCCGAAGGTTGGACCAATCACGCGTGGCGACATTGAGGTGGCACTGAAGAACACTAGGCCTTCGGCTCATCTCCATGCACATCGTTATGAGAAATTCAATGCGGACTATGGCAGCCAAATACTCCAGTGAAGGCTCGTTAAGTCGTTATATTGGTCAACTTCGAGCGATAAATTCGAGCTGCTTTAAATGTGTGTGTGTGTGTGTATGTTTACCACCATCTTATGATTTGTCAGGTCCCTAAATGACATTTTCTACTGTACCATTATTTGGAGGGAAAAGAAGTAACATCGAATCATGTTATTCATTAATATGTCAGAACTATGTGTACTCTAATGAAGGCAGATGCAGCTTTAAGTAGTCTATTTTTTGGTTTTTGCATAAGAGAAGCTAAAGAAAAAGAAAACATCATCAAATATTTATCAAATATTACATAACATCAATGCACTAGTTCACTACCCAAAGGCCAAAGCAATGTTTCTGCCAATTCACCAACATTCTCTTTAAAGGGTTACTAATTACATTATTACAAAACTTATCAAGGATGAATTAAAAAAACATGCTCCAAAACAATTTCAATTACCATAATCACCATACTCAAAACCATCATCTCCTAATACACCTAACATGGAAAAGAATTGAGCTTTTTATTTTAGATTTTGGATTAATGGATTTAATGTATAATGCCAATATAAATATATGATACTAATGCATATATTTAGGGCTTGTTTAGAAATACTCTTTCAGAAGTCCATTTAAAGATGAACTTTTTGAAAAGTGACTTCTCAAGAAGTGTATAATATAAACTTCTTTAAAATGGACTTTTTGTGAGAGTTACTTTTTTAGAGGTTTATTTTATTATTTAAACCAAACATCTTTTTATTTATGAAATGAACTTTTATAGTGAAAAGTCAATTTTAAAAGTGCTTCCAAACATACACTTAATATTTTGTACCAAGTTACGGGACAAATGGGTCGGTCCATGACAAAAAATATACGTCGATTTGACATTATTTTAACGGTTCAGTACTAGGAGTGGNNNNATAATTTTCTGAATGGGACTACTTCAGTTCAGTTTGGTATGGGAAAATTTGGTTTTTTTCCCCCAACTCACCCTATGTTTTATTGTTTTGTTTGAATTCATGGACCAACACCTAAAACTGTTCATAAGGCCCAACTCGGATTATGTCACAGACAAACCCGAGCCCATATCCTTGTCTCTCCCCAAAACAGATAAAAAAACCCAACGAAATTAACAAATTAAGAAAAAGAAAAATCTAGATAAATTTACTGCAGAAATCAATTTTATTTCATTTTCTTTCTTTCCTTTTCGCTCAAAATAATAATAATAATAATATTTTTTCTTCATTCATCTCTACTTCCTAAAATGAGGAGCTCTTGGTGAGATTTCATCACTTGTCTATGTCTCAGCCCAGCACCTCCACAAACCTCACCAAGCGCTCATTATCCCCTTACTCCTCCGCCTCTCCCGCCGCCACCACCTCCTCCGGCGCGGCCACAGCCCCAATTTTCCCGGCGATGAAGAAGGCCAAGTCCCAGGCGGCCGGGTGCTCGCTCGATGGCAGCAGGAACGGCCAGCAGCAGGTCGCTCCCCACGTGCACTTCGCTGACGCGCCGGCTTTGTCCCCTATGATCGAAGACGATCCCAACGATGTCGTAATTGAGGCATCTTCACCTTCCAGCGGTTTTGGGCGCGGCGTCCCTGCCTCCGGCGGAGGAGTTACGGCCAATTTGGCAAGAAAGAAGGCCACCCCTCCGCAGCCTGCGAAGAAGCTCGTAATTAAACTCGTTAAAGGTTAGGTTCTTAATTATTTTCTGATATTTGCTTTATAATAATCGTTGCTCTAATTGTGCGATCTGCTTTTGGCACTTTCAAGTGTGCCGACTTTGGGGGAAAATTATGGGTATTTGTTTCATAGTTTCCGGCGTTTGTGCTTGTTCAATTGAGGTAGAATTTTAGGGATTTTGGTTGAGATTGTAATTCGTCCTGCCAGTCTGTAAATGATTTCAAGTACTTTGTGTGTGATTCTACTTGTGTTTGTGAACTTGTAGAGGTCTGATATTTTGGAGCAAAATTTCTCATTTTCGGTGAAAATCATAAGAGCATTGTAAAAATTGTAGGTAGTTCTTGTCTGAAGTGTATTTTTGCTTTAAAGTGCGAATTTGCGTCCAAAAAATATGGCTTTTAACTCTTATGATTTACCTACTGATTGTAGAATCTATAATTTTGCAGATTAGTTAGTCAGTAGAGGAATTAGATGACATTAATTTCCCTTGTGAAACTATAGGGGAACTATTGTAGATTAAAATTTGATTTAATGATTAATTTCTTGTTCATGAAGCCAAACCGACACTGCCGAGTAATTTTGAGGAAAATACATGGGCAACACTGAAGTCTGCTATAAGTGCCATATTTTTGAAGCAACCTAATCCATGTGACTTGGAAAAGCTCTATCAGGTGAAAATTGTCTACTTTTTATTATTTCTCTCCATATGTTATTATATAGCAAAATGCTGATGCCGAACATATGATAATAAGGCTGTCAATGACCTTTGCCTGCACAAAATGGGTGGAAGTCTATACCAACGAATCGAGAAGGAATGTGAATCCTACATTGCCTCTGCTTTACGGTCTTTGGTCGGCCAAAGTGAGGATCTTATGGTTTTCTTATCACTCGTCGAGAAATGCTGGCAGGACTTTTGTGACCAGATGTTGATGATCCGCGGTATAGCGTTGTACCTTGATAGAACTTACGTGAAGCAAACGTCCAATGTACGCTCGTTATGGGACATGGGTTTGCAACTTTTCCACAAACATCTCTCTCTAGCTTCGGAAGTGGAGCACAAAACTGTGTTCGGTCTTCTGAAAATGATTGAGAGTGAGAGGTGATCTCCAATCGTTCAGTTGTTTACTTTAAAACATTAACATATATAATTTCAAAACAATTCCCAACATCTGGATTAATTATGGGGAAGCCCCAGATACTTTTATTTAAATTACAATACCACCCTCAAGGTTATATTCATTCTACGTTTCGCTTTTTCTTTTTATGGAGCTATCATGAGTATCACTGATATCATTAAATATTTTCTAAATTGCATCCTTGAAGTTTTTTAAATGTTACGGATAACCCCATCCTTTTGTTTTGCATTTATTGCATGCATCCCTCAGTTTTTTTAGGTGCTACAAATATCCAGCTAAGAAGTTGGGGCTTCTTGGTAATATAATGAATAATTGATGGGCGTAATTACAAAATATTTGATGATATCAGCATAGTCTGTCAGGTCGATTAACCATTGAGGCAAAGTGTTATACAGAAGCAAACCTGAAGGGTGGTTTTGAAAAATTTTAAGTTATCTTGGCTTTTTCCGCAAGTACCCCAAACCCCATGGGTGATTCTTTTTAGTGATCTTATGTATCCCTTAGTTGGACTTAAGAAGTTGCGTGCATCATACGACTGTCAAAGTCTTGTAACTAAATATAAGACTGCCGTACAAAATCTTGATGGTTGCTTGTTAATGCCCTCTGTTAATATTAGTTTCTGTGGGTTCCACAAATCAGGTATAGATTGGATCAACCTTAGATTAGTATATTATGAGATTTCTCATGTTCTGTTATTATTATTTTGCTTCTTTTTGTAGGCTAGGCGAAGCAGTTGATAGAACTCTCCTTAATCATCTTCTGAAGATGTTCACTGCACTTGGAATCTACCCAGAAAGTTTTGAGAAGCCATTCCTTGAAGGCACATCAGAGTTTTATGCAGCTGAAGGTGTAAAATATATGCAACAGGCTGATGTTCCTGATTATCTAAAACATGTCGAGGTTTGCATTCCTGATGCATTATTTTCTCTTATCAGCTTACGCTTTATGCTGTTAAATCCTGTGTCATTCTGGTGTGGTTTATCTATATTTTCCCAGGTAAGGTTGCAAGAAGAACAAGAAAGATGCTTAATCTACTTGGACGCCAGTACAAGAAAACCATTAGTGGCCACTGCAGAAAAGCAACTTCTTGAGCGGCATACATCCGCAATTCTGGATAAGGTTGAATCGTCCACTCAGCTTTAACTCTTGACCTAATTTTTTGTTATCACTTTCTTACCTCTTGTGCTTGCATATGCATGATTCTAATACCCTCCACCTTCTTTTGTAGGGTTTCATGATGCTGATGGACGGCAAACGAATGGATGACCTCCAGAGAATGTATGTTCTTTTCTCTAGGGTCAATGCCCTAGAGTCCTTAAGGCAGGCCCTTAATCAGTATATACGAAGAACAGGCCAGAGTATAGTCATGGATGAAGAAAAAGACAAGGAGATGGTTTCCAGCTTATTGGAATTTAAAGCTAATCTTGATAGTATATGGGAAGAAAGTTTTTATAAAAATGAAATGTTTAGCAATACCATCAAGGATGCATTTGAGCATCTCATTAATATCCGCCAGGTACTAATAGTTATACCATTTTAGTAGGATTTATACTTTACAGTGAGGCCTGATGCTCTGTGATGGATTAATAAATAATAATGTATTATGCACTTTTACAGAACCGACCTGCTGAGCTAATTGCTAAGTTTGTCGATGAGAAGCTTCGTGCTGGAAATAAGGGTACATCAGAAGAGGAATTGGAGGGTACACTTGACAAAGTTCTGGTCTTGTTCAGATTTATACAGGTACACATCATTGTAAAGCTTTCATATGGCAAATGTGGATTATGCATTTATGCTTATACTTCCATCCCAATTTTTAATTAGCTGCTACTATGTAATGTTCCGGGTGTAGGGTAAGGATGTATTTGAAGCATTCTATAAGAAAGATCTTGCTAAGCGGCTTTTGCTAGGTAAAAGTGCATCAATTGATGCAGAGAAGTCAATGATTACAAAGGTAAATGTCCTTTCATTATAATCTTTATTTCTATTCCTTTGTTTGGGTAGTTACCTGAGCACAAATATTTGTATTATACGCCACTGATTTTTTTGTTTATTTATTTATTTATTTTTTCTGTTATTGCAGTTGAAAACTGAGTGTGGCAGTCAATTTACCAACAAACTTGAAGGAATGTTCAAGGTGTGTATTAACTTGCGTGGATGCATTTGTATTTCTAATTCTACATGGTGAAACTTGGGAAAAAATTGGTTTCCCTGATATTCCTCTGAGATATTGAAGTATTTATTTCCACCAAGTAACAGATTTATCTTTTGAAATTTGTAAGTTTCTTTTATTTTAATAATACTCTGTTGATTCCAACTCTTAGTTGGACAAAGGTATTTTTCTTCAGATAAAGGGGCTTTTTTTTTTCAGATGTGTATACAAAACTGAAAACCAAGTCAGAACCATTTGTTTCTTGACATGATCTTCCCGTCACCACATGG